GTTATTAAATGGTTTACAAGAGCACATGAGTTCTGCAGTCTGTCCAGGAGAGGCAAGATCCTGGCTGGGAGCTGGGGAACGTCTTGAGTTCTCAGCAGGTGGCTGATTTTCTCCAGGAAAAAATGTTCTCAGCTTTGAAAGGTAAAACAACTAAAGACAAATGCATTTAATTCAAAGGAAAAAAAAAAAAGCGTTTATTTCAAGAAAGGTCGGTTGGTTGGTTTTTTTCCTTTTAGCAAGAGTAAATGGTGGTAAACACTCCCAAAGGCGTGTGAACCCCCAGTGCCCCACCAGTATAGATTTATGAACCACCGTAGCTTTTGTTTCCCTTCGACCTAACCTTCTGGAATATCTGAAAACTTCAGCATACCAAACTCTTGCTTTAAATAAGTCATGTGTTATTGATAGAAGAGAAACAAAAATGTTTTTCTGCCTTCAGTTTATTCTGAACTGGACTTCAAGACTGAAGGAAAAAAATGTGCCCAAATAACTCATTACTTACCTCTGTCGAAAAGCAAGAGTGGCATAGACAAAAACTTGGCTTTGCTGAACATTTAAATTATAATTTTAAGGACTGTAAGTTGTAGATTGAACTGGAATTGATGATTGACCGCAAAATTCAGTATGTGTGCTTTGAAGTTAGCTATTGGAAAAAAATCTGTGGTAGGCCTAGTTTTTAATTTAAAATTATGGAGATATTTCTTAAATATATGCAGAATTCATGAATAAAATGTGAATTATTTTTCTGGTACAGTGATGTGCTTAGAAGATTGTAGCTGAAGGCATCAGTCATAAAGTTTTACCTTGTGGAGACTGAGAGATGGAGTGAAAAATAAAGCTGATGACTTCAAGCCAGAACCCATGTGAAATAATAAAGGTATTAACAAGGACAGTTAATTCTGAAGGTGGAGGCCAATCTTGGGCATTGCTGTAGTCAAATGCTCACATATAATTCTTCAAAATGAGTATGCAAAATGCTTCCTTTATTGATTTTAAGGCAGCTGAGATAGATGTGTGGCTTTTTGTTCGTTTGCTTGTTTGTTTGTTTTTAACCATTATAGTCTTGGATAAAACCTATACCACTTTTGAAAAACCTCATTATCCTGGTGTCCTCTCCAAGGTATTCCTGCCACTAGAGAACCTGATGCTATTCTGGGATGAATAACAATGATTCTTCAGGCAGTGAAAACTGAAAATAAAACAATAAATAGAGGGTAAAAGAGACTTGATAAGGACTCCAGCACAGGATTTTTCACAAAAATGTGGTAAAACAGAGCCAGAAACATTGGCTTAGATCTAAGAGTCGCCTCTCTTTCATGTAATATTTTTCCTTCTGTTTATGTCAAGGTAAGAGATGAAGGTCTGTCACTGTTTATGCCAGACCCGATGATGGCTGAATTTAGGGAACATCAAAATGAACGGTGATGCTATTCTGGTCTGGGAGTGTGGCTCTTCATTCCTCCATTTCCCAGGTGCAGAGACCTGATTGCATGCAGTGGCAGCAAGAACAAGGGCTGCCAACTTCTTTCTGGCCACTGTCAGGGACAAGGTGACATACAGAGCAGTGCCAATATCTTCGATCCATCTAAATAGGGAATTTGGGGGCTATAGGATAAGGCAGAGCTCCTGTCAGTGTCATTGCTTTTTTTCTACACATCTCTCCTAAATATGTACGCAGCTATTTCAGGTATTGCATTTCCATAAGTGCTGCTGGAAAATGCTTTTTTAGGTGTCTTTGTGATTTCCTTTTCTTTTCCTAGTTCTGTATTGGCTCTCTTCAAGAGTCACACCAAGTAAGAGGTGAATGGGCCAAGTTTTAAAAGAAATCATAATTCCTTCTAATAGGAAAGATGGAATTTGGAGTCTGAGATTCATTTTTACCATTATAGCCCTAATTCAAAAAATTTAGTTTCTCAGTATTATAAGATCATTTTACTCTTGCACGTAGAACATGTACATTTTTAACTACTGACAGGAGTGTGCGGGGAGGATTATTGAGAAATCTATTAGACTTTCGAAAATGTAATTTTCTTGTTGAGAAGTTAGTGTATACCAGCTTTGCAGAATTTACTGTGTGTAGAAAGCATTTTGCTCGAAGTCTGTTTCTGTGTGTGTTTGGAAAAACTGCTTGTTTAGAGCAAGCAAATGAACTTTGAAGTCTCCCTTTCTTAGACCTTTGTGACAAAACCAATTTTTCTTTTGAGGATAATTTAATTCAAAGCAAATCGTATTTGGTGACTAGTATAATTTTCGAACCCTATGCTTTGCAGTACATTAGTAATCAAATAACGTACATTTTATTTTTAATAATAAAACTGATGAATAAGCAAGTGAAAATTCTACCTACTGATTTTTTTAACTCCATGCCCTGATGCAACATCATTCATGGAAGAAAATGTTATTGCAAATACTTTTGTGAAATCTAAGAGAGAATGACCCTTCTGACCGTTTCAGAATTCAGTCCTGAGCAATTATAAAGTCAGACATTTTTAATTCAGAAATCTTATCTTGCAGTTAAGGTTTTTTTTGGTTTAGTTGTGTTTTTTTTATGATCTACAGTTGAGGCATTTCCCTGCTCATGTTCCTTCAGCAACCCCAATTAGCATGTGTCAGGAACATCAAGCTCATTCACATCTATGGTGAGAGTGGTGGTAGCGTCACCTTCTCCAAAACCTCGAAGAGCTCAGATCTGGGAAGAAGTAAGACCAAGGCTGGACGTCCTGGTGTCCGACCATGTCCTCATGTTTGAGCATGAACTTTCTGCT